TGTCACCCTGCATTAAGAAAATTAAATCACAATTGAGTGTTATTTAAAATGTATTGAAAGCATGGTAGTGCAACTGACGTTCATATCTTGCATGACAAAGTCCATGGAAAATGACAATTTGTGTTTAGTGAAATCTGAAACAAACCACAGGCGTATGACCTTTGCCAATATATTCCAATTTTCTTTTTCAGCATTGAGTTATGAAACATAGTGATATTTTTTTTGCAAATTAGACATGTTGCAAACTGAATATAAAAAATGGATAGATAATAACTCACTCAACGTAGAAATATTGTCATCACAAATGTATATTTATAAGCATGATGGAAAGAGGGAAATGTTGCCTGTATTATAGAATTTGAAATTTAAAATTTGAAATGTTGACAATATTAAAGTAATATGAATTCAAACTTTTATAAAGGGAAGATATTACCATTTTCATGTATCTGACTTCCTGTATTTCCGTCATGATGTAAAAAACTGCAATTTTTATACCTCCAGCTTGGGCTAACCCATAAGTAAATGCAAATCAATAAGCAAAATTACATAAAACTATACTGAAACAGGTATAAACAGATGTACAACCCTAATGACGGTCAAAGAAGACAATATTAAACCTTAATCATTATAAAAAAGCAAACTTTTTTAGGGAAAAAATTTCAACTTTGCTCTTGAAGGTAAACAACATAAAGATTGAAAAACGGTAACTTTTAAAGTCAAAAACCTTAGATCAAAGCTAATTAGTAACATTTTTTCTGAAATCGGTAACTTTTAAATTCAAAAACCTTAGATCAAAGCAAATCAGTAACCTTTTTTACAAAATCGGTAACGTTTAAACGCAAAACCTTAGATCAAAGCAAATCAGTAACCTTTTGAACGAAATCGGTAACCTTTGAATAAAAAAAGTTTAGATTTAAAAGTAAATCGGTAAGAAATATAACATAACTTATCTGAACGTGCAGATGAAAATATTACTTGAGGGAAGACGTGCAACAAAAGAGATTTGATACTTCTTTTGAGACACTGATCTTGCATAAAATAGGAAAGATTATAGCAAAGAAGACGTGCAGAGCGAAGAAAATGTGCAGAGCAAAGAAGACTTGCAGTAGACTGCGCAAAGGAGCATATGGGAGATTGAGAGAGTATTTGGATTGAGGAGGAGTATGGGCTTGCAACATCGTTGTGGCCCAAAGAAGTAATTTGTCTTTTTGTACAAAATAGGTCTGTTTTGTAAAAAAAAAAAATTTGATTTTTTTTTAAATTATGGTGATGACACATGTTAAAAGTTGTTATTTGTGTTACCTGGATTTGTATATAGTTATAGATTTTATTTTTAAGTGATAACATGTTTTTTATTTTTAAGGGACTCGTGATACATAATTATATTATAGTTTTGCTTTTTGTTGATCTGAATCATAAAGACATAAATTTCGATTTAAATGATATATTTGATTTTAATAAAATAAAATAATAATATTATAAATTTATTAATAATAAATTAAAAAATAATAATACAAATTATTATTATTATTATTAAGTAATTTATAATAAAAATTATAAATATAAAATATATTAAAAATAATAAATAAAAAATTATTAAAATAAGATAAATATATAATAAAATAATTTATAAATATAAAATATATTAAGAAATTAAAAAATAAATAATTATTAAAATAAGATAGAAATATAATAAAATAATTATTATTTAAAATTAATATAACGAATTTTAAAAAAATATATATTATATATTTTATAAAAAAATTATATTAAATAAAAATAATTCAAACTAAACTAAAACTAAATCTATTCAATTTTATTAATTTTATCTTAATTTAATTAAAATTCAATTATTTAAAAATAATGAATTGATTTATAATCTGATTTTTAATGATAATATAATGATAGAAGTTACAAAAATGTAGCATTGAGAAGTTTGAAACAAAAAAAAATTAAGAAAATAGAGATTTAATTACACTTTTAATAAATTGAAGATAATTACAATATAATTTTCTAATTTGAGAATGAACAATATAATTAAGAAGATCAAGTGTAATGTTATTGATGCTAATTTTAACAATAATACAATAATATTATTTTGGAAAATGCCCATATTCATGTGAATATTTTGATTATTATTATATAAAATAATTAAAAGAATAAGGTAAATAGAAAAGTAAAATGCATGGTTATACCACTTTCCTTTTAATCTATAATTAGTTAGGTATGAATCAAATGTAAAGTCTAATGTTATTGATGCTAATTTTAAGAAGATCACAAAATGTAAATTAAATAACTACAATATAAATTTCTACTTTGAGAATGAACAATATAATTAAACTCAAAATTGAGAATACTCTTATACATTTTTGAACTCTTTTGGATAAATTTTGTTTTCCTAATTTTTGATAAAGTTAATTTTAATATTTAAAAGTATTTAACATTTTGAATTCGAAAGGTTTTCTCTAATAGCAAATTTAAAAACATAATATTCAAAAAAATATTTTAAGATTCAGTCTTCGGGTTGCATTTCGCTTCGAGCGACTATATCTCACTCGAGCGAAAAACGATACTGATCGATCATAATTTGAAATGATCGATCATAACGAGAGGATATAATAGCGGTTCCTCTCAGAATCGCTATCTAAAGTGTATATTAGATAGCGGTTCCAAGTGGAACCGCTATCATATACAACCAAATTTTTAATTTCTTCGAGTCTCGGGTTGTGTTTCGCTTGAGCGACTATATCTCGCTCGAGCGAAATATGATTCTGATCGATTAGATTTAGGTAATGATCGATCATAATTGGAGGATATAATAGCGGTTCCTCTGTAACCGCTATCTAAAGTGTATATTAGATAACGGTTCCAGTTGAACCGCTATGATATACAACCATATTTTAATTTCTTCAGTCTCGGGTTGTGTTTCGCTTGAGCGACTATGTATCGCTCGAGCGAAATATTGGAGGATATAATAGCGGTTCCTCTGTAAGCGCTATCTTAAGTGATATATAATAGCGTTTAAGATTTAACCGCTATTAGAAGTGATATATAATAGCGGTTATGTTTTAACCGCTTATTAGAAGTGATATATAATAGCGGTTAAATTTTAACCGCTATTACAAGTGTTGTTATAATAGCGGTTAAGATTTAACCGCTATCATATATTGCAGGTAACAACGACTTTTCATTACTTTCATCTCTTTTCTTCGCACCTCAGCGAAGAAACTCTCTCTCTCATCTCCCCCTTTTCCTCGCCTGCATTTCGTCGCAAATCAGTTCAACCAAACGTGGGTGAATCTCGTGTTTCTGTCTTCGTGAACAGTATTTCGTCGCAAATCGGTTCAAACAAACAGGGCTCAAAGTAATTCTATCTATTTGATATTATTGACTAAATATAAAATTATGAGTTAATAAGATAATTTAAGAGAAATGTTAAAAAATAATTAATAAAAAAATTAAAATACAAATAGGCTTAACCATTAATTTCAATTTATTTAGTTAAGCAAAATTTTAAGTTTGAATAGTTCCTTTTATGGAATTGTTAACAAGATTAATACGAATACCCATTAAAAAAAATAAATATTTATTAGAGTTGAATCAGTTGAACTTATGATCTGTTTATAAATTATATTTTTAAAAAAATAAATTTTAATTAAATCGGATAAAATAAAAAAATGGGATAAAATTGATAAAATAAAAAAATTAGTTGAATTTTTTACTTGAACTATTTTTTGATAAAAAATTATTTATGATAAATTTTTTAATATAAGTTTTCTTTTAAATAATATATTTTAATTTTTTATTTTATTTTAATTAAATCTACTTTAAATAATATTTATTTTATCATATTTTTATATAATTTTAATAATAATTTATTTTCACTCTTTGATATGTTTTTTATTTATAATTTGTATTATATTTTTAATATTATATTAGTAATTATTTTATTTTGTTATAAAAAATTATTATTATTAATAAATTTATTATATTATAAAAATATTAATATATTAAATTTGAATCCATTAAATATGAATCTTTAAATCTCCAACATATTTCTTCGTGCTTAAATTTAAAAATGGTTTTGGTTTTAAAAATCTAATTTCCTTTAACACCAATGCAATTTAATTATTTTCATTGTTAAATACTTTTTTCATTGTTTAGAAGGCTCAATTAACTAATTAATTGTGTAAAAGATACTAAATATTTAAAATTATAAAAATAGTTAATTTAATTAATACTATTAAATTTTCATTAATTTATATTTTCTAATTATTCTTAGTATTGAATAGGCATACTTTTTATTTATTTTTAAATACATTTATTAGTTTTAATTTTTATTGACTGCATTTATGAAGAATGGTCAAAGTAAGAATTCCAAAAGAGAAAGCTATAACTCCAAAAATAGTGAAGACATCAATGTATTTTACTTTCTTATTTACTGAACTCAGAAAAATAGCTTATAGTAGTAATTCTGTTAAAAAATAATGAATATAAATACATTAATTATTTGCTTTAATAAATTGAAACAGTTAAACATAAAAGTTTCAGATTTTCAATTTCCACAATAATTTAAAGATTCAATTTGAGGAATAGTACTTCAACTTAGACGGTAGTATTAAATTAACGATTGAATGCACGGCGATGTAACGTTGACCCATATTTTCAGTTGGAATCCAAATGCAAGGGTTGACGGAGAGTCGAGTGTGTAACGGTGATGATATATAATAATAGATATGGTAATGGGATGAATGAGATTGGAAATATAGCATAGGTTTAAAATAATAATAAAAAAAATGGAGTAGCATTATGAAGCGTGGGATAGGTGGTGTGTGTGTGGCAATTCCGTAGTTCCATGGTTTGTACTTTAGCGCTAGCGATTATTTTGGGGCATTCTCACTTTCTCTCTCTTTTCTCTCTTCTATCGATCTTCACGGCGTGGTTGCTTTTCGATCTCTCTCCCACAAAATTAGGGTTTAGACCTAGATCCGTCCACCTTCATGTTTTGGAAGCTTGCATCTCTTTCTGCTTCCTCCCCCGTGAGTTTCCACTTTAATTGCGCCAATTCTCATGCATTTAAACTAAGACCTTCCGTTCTCCTCTCTCTCTCTCTCCCTCCATAATTTAAGCGTCACTTGGTTTCATTTCACTATTCGAATGTCATCAATTTACCATGCTTTATCTTTCTAATTACCGATTAATTAATCCTTATTTAACTATTTTACGGATTAATTCCATTTTCCGGACCAGCTTCGTCGTTTTCAGTTTCGCTCTTTTAAATTTGTTACATGCAGCAACTCGTAGCGAACTTTTTGCTTGCATTATTTTACTATTTTTTTAAAATCTGCTGTTTGTTTTTTATTGAATCTACTTCAGTGGTTCACTTTGCTAGGAGGATCTCAATCGGAGACAGTTCATGTGTTTTAGCATGTTAATTTTTTTATTTTTTTTTGGAATTACCTCTTTGTATATGTTTTTCAGCTGCGGGTATTTTGAATTTGAAGGTTTTTCTGCTATAGGATGTTATTATGTGCATGTTAATCGATGGAAAACACTTGAGCTTTAGTTAAAGTAAACTCAAATTATTGTGAACATGTGAAAAAGAGGCCACATGGTTCTTCTGAAAAATTTTCCCTTACCTTTTGGATAGATTTGAATTCAAAGTGGCTATCAGTTATGAGAACTTGCTTTACTTTTGAGAATACAGTGTTTCTTTGCAGTGGAATTTTATGATTCAATGCCATACTTGATGGCAGAAAGTTTTAAGAGGACAACTGAAGTGGCAATCAAAGTCTTAAGTAGCTTAAAACATGCATACTTATTTTATCGTGTCCCCTTTTTGCTTCTTTGTAACCGTTGAAGTTCATTTTTATGTTGATGGTGCTATGCAGGTGGAGGCAATATTAGACAGGGATAATTTCACTTTGGAGGAGCTTCTGGATGAAGAGGAAGTGATCCAAGAATGCAAGGCCTTAAACAGTCGCCTTATCAACTAGTATGTGTCTGTTTAATTTGAATCGACTCAGTATTTTCATTAACCAAACAAATAAGTCTAAGAGTTTCATGGTTTTTTTCTTAATCATCCAATTTGTATATTTGGTGGTAATTTAAAGTAGAAGTAAATACATAAAGCCCAGGATGGATAGACGATTACATGATGATTGAACAAAAGATAATTGATAATTTGCTACTTCTTCCTTTTTTTAGTCTGAGAGATCAAGCCCAGGTTGAGCAATTGTTACGATACATTATTGAAGAACCACCAGAAGATGCTGAAAATAAACGAGCCTTCAAGTATGCAGCTGTAACTGAAAGTTTGCTACAAAAGAACTTATTTTTTAATGTTTCAACTTCCCTGTAACCATCTCTGATTTTTTGTCTGTAACTTAGGTTTCCGTTCATTGCCTGCGAGATTTTTACATGTGAAATTGATGTCATTTTGAAGACCTTGGTTGATGACGAAGAGGTTTACACCTCATCTTGTTTGTGAACTTATTTTAAGCTTCAAGTCATATATCCCTTTATTGATTTCCCCTTCACATTCCTGTAATTTCAGCTGATGAACTTATTATTCTCCTTTTTGGAGCCTAACCGCCCACACAGTGCCTTATTGGCAGGCTACTTTAGTAAGGTACATGTTAAGATAGAATTGGAGTTTTTGTTTGCATGACCTTTTTGTTAATGTGGCCTGTCTGACCTTCTTTATACTGGTTTCTATGCCATTTTACAGGTTGTTGTTTGCCTAATGATTCGAAAGACAGTTCCACTGATGAATTATGTTCAAGTAAGGAACACAAAGTGCTTTTGCAGTACACTAGTAATTGCTTATTCAATTTTATGGAGGAAGAAAATATATTGATTGACTTTTAAGTTTAAACCCTTTTATCTCTGGAACCTTTATATTAAACAGTTTTTAGTCTATTCAACAGTTTGGTGTGCATGTGCATATGTTGCATACTATAGTCTCCTTATGAAATACTTCATTCATTATTCAACATAATTTCTACAGGCCCATCAGAATGTCTTCCGTCAATTGGTTGATTTGATAGGAATTACATCCATTATGGAGGTAAATTTTACCACTTTGGTTGTATATATGAAAATTCTAATATCTTGCTGATGTGCTAGAATGGATTCCTGACATAAGTTCTTTTGACAGGTTTTGGTTCGACTAGTAGGTGCTGATGACCATGTCTATCACAATTTTATAGATGTGATGCAATGGTTGGCTGAGAGCAACCTGCTTGAGATGATTATTGATAAGTTGAATCCATCTGTAAGTATAACATCTATCCAGGTTTATATTCCCTTAGCAAGATTTTACTTTTTTGCTGTGTGATGCTTATGCACTTAGCTTTATGTCTTTCAGCTATGTTAAATGAGATTGAATGTAGCTACATTCTTTGATTTCGGGGATTTTCTAATCTACAAGCTTGACTCTGGCCACTCTAATTATTGCTAGTAGTGATGTTGTGTTTGCACCCAAAGTTTGTTTTCTGGGACAAAGAAGATGTAATTGATGAAAAAGCTCAATTTAGTATTCAATTTTTGTTTTGGTGTTTGAATTGTAGTCTCTCTATTACTTTATCTTTTGTTGCAAATTAGCTGATGACTCTTTGCTCTCCTATTTAAACCAGAGTCCTCCTGAAGTTCATGCCAACGCCGCTGAAACATTGTGCACAATAACTAGAAATCCCTCATCTACTCTAGCAATTAAACTTTCAAGCCCAAGGTTTATCCCATGGTTTTATAATCTCTTCCTCTTATATGTGAATTGAATATATATATATATATGTAATGTTTTTTGGTCTTTTGCTCTAATATGTAATTATGAAATAATTATTATATAATTTTTATACATGCAGTTATGTTGCAAAAGTATTGGACCATGCATTGGAAGATTCACAGTCAAAGTCTAGCCTTGTGAACTCACTTTCAGTGTGTGTTTCTTTGTTGGATCCCAAAAGATCTGCTATGTCATCTCCCCTTTTTCATTCCTTTCGAAGTCAACACATGTATGAACCACCAATTCCTGTAAACCCAGACACTATTGGTGCAATGCTACCTAAACTCAGTAAGTCCATTTTGTTTTGTTTTAACTGTTATTGTCTTCATCATGGGTTTTGGTTTAGTTGTATTGTTATTCTGAATGCTGTGCAACATAATAGATGCTGCAATTATTTTTAAATAGGTTTGAGGTTTTTAATTTTGAAATTGGTTTTATAACTATTTTGATGATTGAAGCTTGAAAGAATGATGTTGTCACTGTGATTTGTTTTGGTCAAATTTTGATCAAGTATTTATATCAAATATTTTCTAAGAGTGTGTTTCTTGTCTGCAGGTAAATTGCTTATGCTTTTGAATGTATCATCTGATGAAAAGGTGTTGCCTACAACATATGGAGAATTGAGACCTCCACTTGGGAAGCATCGATTAAAGGTTAGTTTTTATGGCTCTCTCAACCAATTAGAGGGGAGTTGCTATCATCCATACTTAAGGGTGTATTGTCCAACATTTGTTGGCTTCTGATTTATCATAAATAGATGCTTGCTAAATTGTATAATTAATAAGATGTAATGTTTGACAACGTACCTTGATGAAAATATAAATACTTTAGTAATCCCTTAACTAGGTTGGTGGTTTGGTCAGTCAAGGTTGAATTCTTGTTCCAAAAGTTATCTTTGCTGTCTATTCGAAAACTGTAGGCAATTGTTCTATTCTTATGCAAGATAGTGCTAATGGAATTTTGAATATATTTTATTTTTCTGACCTATCTGAAATATTTTCAGATTGTTGAGTTCATTGCTGTCCTTCTGAAAACTGGAAATGAAGTGGCAGAAAATGACTTGGTCAATTCAGGAACCATTCAACAAGTCATTGACCTTTTCTTTGAGTAAGCAACTATTGATTTTCTTTTACGTTCTTCACATTTGGTTTCTCGTTGGATCAAGTCAAACATGGATCTGTAATCCGCATCCAAGCTGAAACTACTTTGAATAGCTTCCATTTTCACATTTGAAACGGGAATCCAACACTCCAAATGCCAAACCAAAGATGTTTAGAGAAACCTTATCATTTTTTTTTAAATTGTGAATGTAGCATTATTTCTTCTCTTTATTGCTAACCTTCTTTTAACTAGTTTGAGCATGCCTTGCTAATACAGGTATCCATATAATAACTCATTACACCATCATGTAGAAAGTATCATATTATCATGTTTGGAGAGTAAAACCGATGCCATTGTTACTTATCTTCTTCGGGAGTGTCAGTTAATTGGAAGATTTCTCCAAGCAGACAAACATTCTATTCTATCCGCTGACAAAAATATGGTAAATGGATGCTTAAATGCTTTAAATCGATATATTGGATGTTTTCATTTCCTCCAATGTTTGATAGAACCTATATGTAGTGCATAATAGATCATCTCTACACTGCCATCAAGTCTATTGGAGCTGCCCTACTAAATTAACTTGTTATATTTTGCAGCCGACAGTAGTTGCTGCAGGAAAACAGGCACCACGGGCAGGGAACATTGGGCATATTACTCGAATTGTTAACAAACTTGTTCAACTGGCACACAGTCGAAGCCTCGTACTAACTTGTCTTCAGGTTAGTGTGCATATCATATTTATAGCATCAGCCTTATGGTTTCTACAGTAACTTTTTGCTGTTAATTTAAATCTATTAGCTCTTGGAATTATACTTTAAATTGCTTTCGTTAACAAAACTACTTAGAGCTTATAATTTTGTTCCAAGACTTATCTGAAATAAGCTTTTGGAGTCTGATAAAACAATTCATGAAGTAATAAAATATATTATTGAAAACTGAAATCACAGCAATATACTTGTCCCAGTGACAAAAGTCTCCATTGATATATAATACAGCTATACACATGCACTGTCCCAGAGACAAAAGTGCCTACAGATAGTATTCGTTGTTCTCAAACTTCAATTAACTTCACACTCCCTAATTAGAAATCTTCTAGCGGATGTATACCTAGTAATACATAACTGGCATACTGTGTTGTTTGTTTCTTATATAGAGCTAACTACCAACAATTATTTTCTACAAATAACGCTAGAGATTCTGATAACCTGGTTTCTAAAGCAACTATTTTATACCAAACTGTCAATGTCCTGAACTCAATTTCAATCAGTCTTGTGTAGTTCATTGTTTTGCATTAAGAAATTGAGTCCTTGATATACCTAGTTCACTTTGTAACTCTTTAGAGACTTAAATTTGTTATTAATTATTGTAAATATGACTAACTTGGGTTTATTCCTTTAAATTTTTGGTCTTGGTCCTTATAATTTTATTTATTTTTGAAACCCTACCATTATTATTAATGACGTGACATACGTAGTGCTGTCTATTTGCTATGTTATTTTTCTGTCTCTTTATTTTGCTTTTTATGAAATCACAAACAAGCTAACATGTAATTAGAAAATTTATTCTTGCATCTAAAGACTATGAAGCTGAAATTACATGTTTAAGTTATTATGCTTTGATAAACTTTTCTTGAAATACTTCAACTTGATATATTTAATGTCTGCAGGAAAATAGTGAGTGGAATGAGTGGCAAGCTTCAGTTCTTCAGGAGCGTAATGTGGTTGAGAATGTTCACCGTTGGGCTTGTGGGTAAGCTTTTATCTAATCTAAATGCTTAGCAGTGGTTGTACGGGGAGGAGGTTCAGCATCCCCTAATGTTAAGCTTGTAGGTGAGCTTGATTTGGTTGTGGCAATATAATTTACAAGGGGATGGAACCACACCCTTACATAAGTGAGGTTATTTTCATTAATAAGGTTTGGAGGGGATTAATTTCAGTGATGCTGTTAATAAATATAGAGCAGTGGATATAATTGTTGTGTTGTAGTTTATTATTGACTATCAATTTGTCTCATGTTTGTGTTATATGTTTACTTTGTTTCATTTTGGGTCTTTCCTGTTTTGACTTATGACATTATTTTTCCTTGGTACAGACGGCCGACTGCTTTACAAGATAGGATGAGGGACAGTGATGATGATGACCTTCATGACAGGGACTATGATGTCGCAGCTTTAGCCAATAATTTGAGCCAGGCTTTTAGATATAAACTTTATGGAAATGAGGATAATGAAGAGGTTTGTAGTTTGGCACCTCCTCCCCTGTGCATGCTTACTTGCTCATTAGTGTTTGCAATTTTAAAGTGCCCGTTTTTCCTTGATGTGCTGTATTTTGGTTGGACCTGCAACTTGAATTCTGGACTAATGTTTTGATTGGCTTGGTTGCAGGAACGTGCCAACCTTGATCGAGATGATGAGGTAGTAGTTTTGCTTACTCTTGGTTACCCATTATAATTTAATTTGATTGTTGGGATCTTGAGAATCAGTCTAGCTCTTATGTTACTGGGTGATGGTTTTGTAACTAATTGATAGCAATTTCATTTCATCTGTTGTATGATCTGCAGGATGTCTACTTTGATGATGACTCTGCTCAAGTAGTCATATCATCCCTCAGACTCAGTGATGATCAGGGGAGGTGAGTCTATTTATCATCATTAGAAATAGAACTTGCTTTCAATTGCTTATAGATCCTTCTCTAGTTAGGGGTTTCTTCACTTTCAGGCATCCTCATCCTGTTTTTGACTGTTGGGATGCTGTTATTGCTTAAAAATGTTCCTGTGATAGAAATAGAATATTCTTTCATTTCTTTAACCCGTGAACATATCTCCTTTTTGCCCCTTGTTGTGGCTATTTGGTGATGCTTCCTTAGGCTATTCTCCGACCATATACAAAAATTAGTTTGATAGAAGTACATAGCACATCTAAGTGATTAATGCCCCTGTATGCTTTTGCTTTCATGTAGAATATAGAAAATTAAGAAAATATTCAAAAACTTATTTCTTTACTTCCGTTGTCTCCACACTGGAATTTTATAGAACTCAATTGGTGTTTCTTTGTTTAATAATAATTTTATTGTCAATACGAGATAATTTTTTTTTTTTTTATTTTGTTTTTTGCAGTAGTCTGTTTACAAACTCCAACTGGTTTGCATTCCAAGATGACAGAATTGGTGATGCATCTGGGGGCACAACTTCGTCGGAGATGATGGATGAGATAAACTTGAATGGTGCTGCAAATGGTGGTAGCAGTAGTGATGACGAGGTAGTGGTTGGAGAGGATGACGAGTTGGCTGAAAATAATCTCAATGGTACATCTAGCTCAAGCACAAACATAAATGGAATAATGACTGGTAGTGATTCCATGAATGGAGACACCTTGAACTTTGAAAACAAAAAGGCAAGTGCTTCACATGATTTGGGATTCTTCAGGTTTGAGGCATCGGACAATGAAGAGTTGTTTGGGGACAGGCCTTTGCCTGATTGGGTGGGATGGGGTGAACCTTCAGATGTTCAAGATACCGGCTCAAGCATGAATCCATTTGTGGACCATGATGATTCTTCTGGTAACAACCTCTCTACCAAACCTCAAATAGGTAACCCAAATCCTAGTCCTCCTTCAAATGGAGACTCTGTTCTTTCAAACAGATCACTATCCCCTAAAGATTCAATTGATGGGTGTGTTGACACAAGTCAAAGATCAGTAGCAGTACCATCACTCTTTGAAGAAGATGTTGAATTTGTAGGTGTAGAATTAGAAGGTACCGAGAAGGCTATGGAACACGCTTTGAAAGAAGGGATAGTTGGGGAGGCAGGACCATTGAAAAGAAACATGGTCTCTAAAGTGCCACCAGAAAAAGAAAGTTCCGATGAGGGTGGCCCTGGAATAAAGGAATTTAATAATGCAAATTATTGGAGGGTTGACCAGGAAGTTGCTGTTCTTGAGTGACACGGTCATGATGGTAACTCTTGTTTGTATCAAAAGTTAGACCAACACCAGTGGACCCTATTCTTGCTTCGCTGGAGCGAATGCAGCAAATTAATGTACAGTATATTTTTGTTCCAATTATGCCCTATTTCTGTTGTTCACGCTTATTAGAGATTTTCATATTAGTGATTAAGCTTGTTTGCTATTCTAAGTTTTGCCTCTTACTGTAAGTGATTTATGGGCGTTCCCACATTTATCGAATTTATTATGCTCTTCATTTTGGGCTCATTTCAACATTGGTGATGATTTGCCATCAGGTATGTAGCTGTCAGTAAATGTTTCCGTAGAGGACTTATTTTTAGTTCGTTGAGGACGCTCTGCTTAATCTGTGGTGTTGTGATAATGCATTGTGGAATATATACTTACATTCTTTTCTTGTCAATGTGGTTGTGTATTTTTATGCTTTCTACTTTGTGAATTTTGCCGAGTCTCTGCGAACGACATTAGTACCACCAGCATCTTCATAAATATGGTTAATGAATCGGTTGATCTAACGAGCGACAGAATCTTTAATTTATCCTTTTATCATGGTTCATAATTTGCCACTGGTAGAAAGATAACATTCTTCTAAGCATGTCGTCCGGACTTTTGGGTCTTCAGGGTCATTGTAACAATTTTACGATAATCTTGTTTTTATTAGTTAGATCGTGTTGGATTTTAATATAACGTTATTGATTGAATATCAAAATAATTGATACTTGTATTTTTGCATTTTTTTTATATCTATTTATAATCTTTTATATACTCAAGAAAAAGGAACAACAAAAATTATACTTAAAAAAAAAACATTTTCTATTTTCACATTATTTATCCAAGTGACCTAGTTTTATATAAACAACCAAACTCTACCTCAAATTTAATTTAATCAAATACAGCACTCATATTATTTGATATATAGATATTATTATTTGAAAGTCATTACTTTTTTTCTAATCAAGTTTTTCCCAGAAAATGTGTTAATAAAAGACTCGTATTTTGAAGATTGATCTAAATTCTTTAAAATTAAATCTTCTAATTCATATGGAATTATGGATAGTTAACTGCGTTCTTATATGTTGTTACACTAAGGATAATAAAACAAAATAACGCGTTATATAATAAAATTAAGATTATTATTATTGTTCGACCCAAGAGTTGGGTATAGGAAGCATGCAGTAGAAGGTAATAGTTTTTGGGGGACAATAAGGTTGTGAAGCACATGAAATAAACAGTGAAGCGTGCTGCACAAGGTTGTGAGGAAGGAATGGCATCAGTGTTTAGGAAAGGAAGGAAGTGGTACTTTATCTGATATTTTATAATAGGAGAAAATAAGTAACCATGTTTCAAGCTGCTTAAGACTTTGATTGGCAAATGTGTACAACGCACAGTATTACCAATCTCTCTCATGCCAAGTATCTCACAAATCATGAATCCTTGAAGTACATGCTTGCAACAAGCCATCCTCATTCATATTACTACATACATCCGCCTCATGCCGATACACTTCCCTTATATTAAGGTTAAAAAACAAATCAACTGACAAAAGTTAACAAATTACTAATCATTTTTATTATAACTGTTTACATGATTCTAATATTAAAACTATTTTATATTGTTATTTTATAAAATTATTTTCTCAAATAATTATAATTATAGTACGACTATAGATTCCCCAGTATCGTACGTTATTAAATTTTAATAAAAAAAAACTATAAATTAAATCTTAACTAAGAGTCCTGCATCCTCTTTTGTATTGGACTTGAGAGTATAGATTCTTCAATATCACAAAAAATATAATTATTATTGATTAAATAGTAAGATAAAATATAACTCGAACTACATTAAACAGATAGATCAAAACTATAAGGTTCACAGTAAGAAAATATAGATAAGAATAAAAAATAAAATATATGGAGAGAATGTAATAAATTCTACAAGTGATGTAATAATAATAAAAAAAAAGTAAAGAGGAAGTCATCCTATTATAAATTATTGGCTCCTAATGAATATTAGATATTTGGAAGAATGGAATTTCCAAGTACACCACTATGTACACAAACTTACTTTTCATTTTGGAAGAAAAAATGCAAAGAAAAAAGAACAACACATATACCAAGGAATTAGATGGTGGGATAAAAAAATCATCAACAAACTTGCTATACATAATAATTTATTATTGAATGGTGGGATAGAACTGTTTTACAATACGAAGAATATCTATTTTGTCATTCATCATGATAATTCCAGTTTGAATAGCATACCAAGATAAAGAGGTTTAAAGTTCTTTATGTTGAATTCCAAAATCCAGAGTTTTGAATAAGTGAGTAATGTTATTATGGAAAGTTTTGACGGTTTGTTGTGGCTGAACAGAGCTATTGATGTTGCTCATAACATCACCATTGACTAACACAACTAAGTTGCACATTTTCTGTTGCCAAATGGGCTCATTGCCTCTGCCATGCATGATGATGGATGAATCTGTTACGCATTTGACTAACACTGTGTTCTGCACTTTTAACTCTTCTTACGTCTTTATTCTTCTTGCAATCCAGTGTTTCTGAGAATTAGTTTCTTTCTAAACCTTTTTTAACTGCTTGATTAGACTCCTAACGTGCGACTTTAATTCCTTATCATCATCATCATCTTCTTAAGCATGAATATAAAATGAATGATATCACGACATGAATTCTGAACTTCTTTATATAGTGGTGACGCATGAACAACACTAATAAATTATTCATAAGAAAGAAAGATTTGGGTGCTCTATAATACAAAAAAATTCTGTCTTTGTATTATGTAATGTTCGCCACCACAGTTATATCACTTGTTACTTTTTCACATTTTCAATTACATTTTTAAAGCCATATACGAGGTAGTGCAAACTAAATCATTAACTAAGATTTTCCTTTGACACCATCATTAGGTAGTTCTATTTTTTGTTTTCTATTATATAAACCATTTTGCTTGAAAATGTGAACCAGATCATATTAGAACCTTGAAAAAATCCAACCAGATTCTACAGTGTGTTCCTTAAGATAATTACAGATTTGCTCATTATAAATTATACTACTACTTTAATAACCAAAATCAATTTTACTATGGTACAGATAAAACAAATTCCAATCTTGATGATGGTAAATAAATGAAATACATTAATATATTTATATTTGCAAGATGTTTTAGGCTTTTAGCGTAAAAGTAAAAGCAAGCATATGCAACTCACCAAATTCCACTTTAATTAAAGTTTAAGTTAATGTTTTGAATATATAACTTTATTTAATATTTTATTAATGTTATAACGATGTAAAAGTGAGTCAGCTCCCACATATTGAGTTGAAAATAGGTGAATGTAACCTTATTGATTTTATGACGAACTAAAATTTTCACAATTTTAATTAACACTTTTTTTTTTTCATTTTTTTCCTAACAAGCAATACTAAATTGCGATATTAAAACATAATGACACAATGATATGATAAATGATGTGATGTAACTGAAATGTTACAAATTTTATAGTGTGAAAGCATGGTGGTGTTGTTGAGAAATACAAATGTGAGTCTCAGTTTTGAATTGACTAAAAATGAATAAAGTTAAACAACATCTAAGAAAATATGACTCATTCATAATCCAATATCTTAAAGTTTTAAGTTAAAAATAATGTTAATCCTAATGTACGTGGAATATGTTTCATCTCTTTCTTAGAACATATCTTGAAAAAAAAATTGGATTAATTTGATCCTATATACTATTTCATATAAAATTATTAGTGAAAAAAAATAAAGAGATAAAATAACATTAATTAAGATTATTAAATTATTTTATATAAAATTATCGATCAAACCAAAATAAAATAGAAAAACAAAATAATATTAATTAAGATTACTAAATTATTATAATTATTTTTAAAATTTTAAAATAAATAATAAATTACATGTCAATTCATTATAACTCGAATAAGATGTGAGTTAAGCGAGACATGTTATTTTTAAACCATCATGATAGAAATAAAATTGGTTGATTCCACAATATATATTTGAGTGGAGTCTAGTTTCCTTCTATTTAGTATGTGTAATATTTTAATGTTATATACCAATTTTAAGAAGCAATGTACAAATTATTTAGAAGAAAAATGATAAATAATTATCAACGTATACCGTTTATGCGAGAAGGAAGAGTAGCATCAGAGAAATATTACTTCTTGAGTTCACACAGGTGTTAGGTGAAAACAATGAGAAGGAGATTGATGACAATGTAAAACATGTCCCTACATTTTCAATAGATGATTTTGATGATGATTCAAGTTAACAACATTCAAGAATCAAACAAGCACAAGATATAATTTTGGTAAAGATTTAATTCAAACATGAAGCAAACCCAAGATGATTCTTGAAGACTAGATAGAGTCTTAGAATACTGAATATGGAGGAACAAATTGATGAAGTGATATTATGCATCAGCTCCAAAGCACAAGTGTGATAAAATTTCGTAACACTACATTTTTCACTGTCATAATCGATTATGATACATCAGAAATGAAAAAACAATTTTCTCTCTGTCTCAATAAATGTTTTTTAATACATTCTAATTTTTTTCTACAAAAACATTAATGACCAACGACTATTTTCTGATGTTATTTTCCTCTTTAAATGAGTTTTGATGAAAAATAAAAAATACACAATTACAGAATTCGAAAATACAATTTACATTCAATCAGTTTTGAAAAAAGAATTCTGAGCAACACCTTATGAGAAAACCCTTTTCTCTACTGCCTCCTACACTTTCATTGTTAATCACACTTGTTCTCGGAGGTTGACATTCTACAAGCTTCTATAATTTGTTATCTCCATTACCCAAGTGTGATTGTTCTTATTTTATTGCCTTCATCCTTTTTAGGATTTAGAAAGTTGATGTTAAATTCCCTGTTTAAGGTTTAGGTGGCTGTCGTTAAATTTCCTGTTTAAGGTTTAAGTGGTTGCTGTTAAATTCCCTTTTTAGGGTTTAAGTGGTTGTTGTTCATCCCTTAATTTGTTCAGGGGAGGTGTTCATCCTTAGTGGGATTCTAAGGAAGTGTTTTCATCTCTTTTATTTGTTCGGGGAAGTGTTCATCCTTTGTGTATTGGTTGTAAAAGAGGTATTTTTCATCCTTTGATTTGTTCAGAGGAGGTATTCATCCCTAGTGGGATTCTAGGGAGGTGTTCATCCTTAGTGGGTTTCTAAGGAGGTGATTATCTTTTTAATTAGTTTATTTTTTATTGGTTCCTCTGCTGAGTTGATTGTAATTTGTAACCTGAATTTTAAAAATAGTGAATTGGGGTCACTCTTGTGATTATAGTTGGATGGAAACTGGATGTAGGGTTGATTATACCCGAACTAGTATAAATTACTGTGTGTTCTTCTCTTGCCTTTATCTCTTTAACAACATCGCATCCTACATCTACATCTCCATGCTTGAATATTTCTCTTTATCTATCTGATTATATCTCTTCCGCTTTATCTATATTTTATCTGATAGTTAAAATTGAATTAATAAATTATTGGACATCTTAAAATAAATTTTTAATTTGGCATCTATTTTAATTTGTGCATCTATTCACCCCCCTCTAGATTTCATTTGTCTAACAAGTGATATCAGAGCTTGATTAAATAATATATTTTTAAATGATCTGTCAAGATGTCTATGCAGAATCAGGTTTACAAGGAAGAAGCCTCAATAAACAAACCACCACTATTTGAAGAAGACTATCAATTTTGGAAGGCAAGAATGAAAATATTTTTACAAACACTAGATTATGGTGTTTGGGATGTTGTACTCAACGGTCCCTACATTCCGATGAAAACAATGAAGTCTGGAGTTGTTCCAAAGATTTTTGACCAATGGACGCCGGATAAAAATAAGCGTGTCCAATATAATGTAAGAGCCCGAAACGCTATTATTTCTTCCTTAACTCGTAATGAATTTTTCAGGGTCTCACAATGTAAGATGACAAAAGAAATATGAGACACTCTTGAAGTGACACATGAAGGAACAAATGAAGTAAAGCGAACACATAAGAACACAATTATCCAGGAGTATGAATTATTTCAAATACAACACAATGAAAATATCACAGATTTCCAGACACGCTTCACACATATAGTAAATCACTTGAAAGCATTAGGAAAGAATTTTGACAATGAGGATTTGAACACAAAGATCTTGAAATCCTTAGATAGGAATTGACAACCAAAGGTCACTGCTATTACAAAATCAAAGGATTTCACAGAAATGAATATCGTTACTTTATTTGGAAAGCTGCGAGAATATGAGATGAAACTACAAAGGTTAAAGAACCAAGCCAAGACGATAGCTCTAAATGCAGTAAAAACTTCACAAGATGAAAGTAAAAATGAAGGTAAGTTTTTGGATTCCGATATATCTCTTTTTGTTAAAAAGTTTACTCGAGTTATGCAGAGTAGGAAAAAAGGGACAACAAAGAAAAAAGAAAACTAATAGATACGAATGTTATGGATGTGGAAAGCTTGACCATATCAAACCAAAGTGTTCGAAACTTAAGAAAGAGAAGAAAGATGTGAAAGAGAAGAACAATATCTATAAGAGCAAACACAAAACTGATATTGCTTGGGAGGATAATGATTCTTCCACAACACAAGAGAGTTCTTCTAAAAGCAGTGATGGAGAAGAAACAAATCTTTGTTTGATGACAAAGAGTGATGGTGAAACCTCTTCACAAGAAACCTCATCACAAGTGATTATCAAGAATAAGAAATCAATGCAGGTTATTGGAGCTAAATGGGTGTAAGAAACAAGCTAGATGAACAAGAAAATATCATAAAGATAAGTTTATTTTTGTCTCTTATGCCTCTGCATTGAATATCCGTACTTATCTGCCACATAAATTTGATTGTTAATCAACTTAAAAATTTGAAAATTTGAATTTATAAAAATTTGAAATTATTAATGTTTGAAATTTGAAAGTCTAAATTTTGAAAATTTGAAATTTGAAAGTTTTGAAATTTGAAAGGTTGAAATTTGAAAGTTTTGAAATTTGAAAGTTTGAAATTTGAAAGTTTGAAATTTGAAGTTTGAAATTTGAAGTTTGAAATTTGAAATTGGAATTTGAATGAATTTGAATTTGAAATTTGGAATTTGTTGGAATTTGAACTTTGGAGTTTGTTGCAATTTGAATTTAAAATTTGGAATATAATTGAATTTGAATTTGAATTTGAATTTGAAAGCTACCTTAATAACAAGATCGCATTCCATTCCATTATCTTTGCAATCATTCCATTTCCCTATCTTTCTCTCTTCATTTGTCTTGAGTATCCTAGATATTGTTTCCTTAATATGATGTTCTTCTCTATGACACTTTGTGATACATTATCTTCTCTGCCTTGATTTATGTACTAATTTGTGTAAATTTGTGCTCAATTTTTATTGCAATATTTTTTATAATTATCAATGAA